TAGGCACGAGTCAGATGCAAGCAAGGCTGATCACCTGGAGATAGAGAACGAGCTCATGCCTCAAGAAGCGAGAAGCTATGCGATATCCCAATTGCCACGGGAGCTCTAAAAACACATTGGGTTTGTAACTAGCTTGAAGGATGATGTTTCCGGTGTGAAGGGCGATGTAAGTGGTATTAAGCGAGGCTTAGAGGTGCTGATGAAGATGAATGGAATGGAGTTTAAAATAAACCAAAAAAACAAAGCCACGGATAAGAACATCAAAATTTGTGGCAATTTGTAAAATATAACAACGAATGTCCACTTAATAGGCTATAGAAGCCACAAATACAACAACTGTGGTTATTTTGTCTCTAAATTTCTTCAAAACGTTTTGTTGATATCAGTAGAAATAAAGCCACTATTTAAAGGGTTACAAGTTGTGGCTAATAAAACCACAAAATTGTTGTAGCTATATGTAGAATATTTCTACAGCTCAATAATGTGACTTTTTGTAGCTAAAAATGCACCGAATCAGAATTAGCCTATTTGCAGCTATTGGCCACAAAAATCGTTTGTGGCTAAGTCGTAACACACGTCTAGGTGTCAACACAAGCTATGAGCTCTTAGGTAGACAGGGAAAAGAATCGTTAACACACGTCGCGTACCGTAGCACCATCAGACAAGGTGTTTTCTTTATAACATCAAACATTAACACGTCGCGTACCGTAGCACCATCAGACAAGGTGTTTTCTTTATAACATCAAACATGACGCGCAAGTGTTAAACTGTTTGTTAAAATTATACCGTAGACTTACCAGTACGTCTACGATTATTAGCTAACAACATAGACAAACCAAAATTTGATAACTTCCTAATTATAAAAGATTATCTTCTGAAAATCATTCAAGACCCTTATGATTAACTAACACACACTTTCATAAACAAAATTTTTGAAAAAACTTAATGAATAATACACAAATCCACTTTTGATAGATTTTACAAGGTAGACTACATATTCAGTCTACAGACGGGTAGACGTTTTATTCAGTTTACATTTTGTAGACTGCAAATTAGGTCTACGTTTAGGTTGGTTTTTGCAATTGCCAAATTCACGGGTTACTTTCTGTATTTGAAAAAAATATATGATTTTATACGAGTAGACTTACTTTTAGTCTACATTTTTAAAAATGTTAGTTATGCAATTGACCAGAATTCGTTCAGAGTTTGACTTTTAGAAGTAGACTTATTATGCAGTCTACATTTTTAAATTTGTTTGAAAGAGGTTAGTTTTGCAATTGACCAAAGTTGACTTTCTACGAGTAGACAAAACTAAATGTCTACGTAACTGTAGACTGCAGTAAAAGTCTACATTATAACCCGACATGTTAGTTTTGCAATTGACCAACATAAAATAGTAGACTTCTTATCCAGTCTACTTTTTTTTCCTAAGTTTTGTAGACTGCATATGAAGTCTACACGTAAAGTAAGTTTTAGTCAGCTTCTAAACATTTTAGTCAAATACAAAAGAAACATATTCAACGAAGTCAAAGTTTTGGTCAAATGCAAAACTGACCTTCCGTAGACTTACCTAGCAGTCTACAAAGTGTAGACATCCAAGAAAGTCTACTATGGTAAGTCAAAATTTTGGTCAAATGCAAATCTAACCTGTTTTATGTAGATTTCTTAGTAAGTCTACCAATTTTTTTTTGTTTTTGGTTTCAAAGGTAAAGACGTTGACGTACTTGTAGGTCTACATTACAAAAAAAAAATTTATTTTGGTCAATTGCAAAAGTAACCTGTGCGTTGACAAGTAGACTGCATCGTAAGTCTACACGTAAGTGTAGACATATAATACAGTCTACTTTCGCGATACAGATCAGAGATATGACGAAAAGCATGTAAATAGTTACCTTGACACCGGTTTAAAGCTTGTTTTCAAGCTTTTCCACCGTCCAGAATCCAAATATGAGCAAAAGAAGCAACCTTTACGATTCACTTGTGAATAAAATCGAAACTATGAAGTTTGTGTTTATGAAAATGAGAGTTATGAGGATTGTTTAGATGAAAATAGAGAGGAAATGAGAGGAAATGAAGTATTGTTTGTTTAGAAAGTGAAATAAGTGGTTGAAAATTCATAAACACAAGCTTAAAGAGCTCATCAATGGTGGTTTTTGG